CCGGTAGTTGATCGTCGTGTGTCTTTACAACCTGCCCAATCGGCATCAACCCATCCTGCTAGATCGCTAGCCTCGCCACCAAGACGAATACCATGTAACCGAGTGGACCGAAGGTAGGTAATTACCATTATCCCTTCCTCCCATACTTTCTTCGTTGGTTTGGTGAGGTACCTAGCAAGGTATGAGGCTGCATATGATATGTCGGGTCGAGTACATGTGGCTAACCACTGTAGACATCCTATTAATTCTTGAAATGGTCGAATTTCACTCTCCACCTCAGACATCGAAGGATTTTTCGCAGTAAGAGGTAATGGCGTTTTTCGGTCTCGATGTAAGTCGTTTTCTGGAAACTTCTGAACTATCTTATCGATGTATGCTGGTTGGTTTAACCATATTGTCTTTTCTTCTCTGTTCCTTGTTACCTTCATACCTAAGATAGTACTTATCTCCCCCAGGTCGGTTATTATCCATCTTTTACCTAACCCATCGAAAATTTCCTTCGCCTCTTCCTTCGATTTCGTGGCTAATACCAGATCATCGACATAGGCTAGCAGTATTGCTGCTCCCTTTCCTTCGATTTTCCCTTCTGGTCTGTAGTAAAGACCCCAATCTGACTCGATTCTTGAAAAACCTAGGTGAGATAATCCTTCGCCGAGTTCTATCCACCATGTCCTACCAGATTGCTTTAAACCGTAAAGAGACTTAACTAACTTCAAGGTATTACATCCAGGTTTCGGCTTTATCCCTTTGGGATACTTCATGTAAATTTCTACATCGAGTTTACCGTTTAAATACGCCCCTTCGACATCGGCCTGGCGAATTTCGAGATCTTCGGTGGCCGCTATAGTCAAGAGTATTCGGAACGACCCCGATCTACCGACAGGTGCGAATGTCTCTTCGTAGTCGACACCTGGTACCTGTGAGAATCCTTGAGCTACTAGTCTGGATTTATACTTTAGTAAGTTTCCTTCTGAATCTGTCTTCACTTTGAATACCCATTTACATCCAATGGCTTTACGACCCGGCGGTAACACCGTTTCCACCCATGTATCCTTAGATTCTATGTTGGATATCTCTTTCTCCATGGATTCTAGCCACTTCTCACCATCTGGGCCGTTTACTGCTTCTTCAGGAGAGATAGGATCAATGAGAGAAGTATCACTTTCGATACCTGCGATAGAGGCGAGTGAGACTAACTTATTAGGCTTGCGACCAAAGTCTAGGAACGAGTCTGTTAGGCCTGCGAAACGATGGGGGGGTCGAATAATTCGTCCGTGACGTGTCGTCAGGATCCCCTCGTCCCCGTCATCATTTCTTCCTTCCTCATCACTTCTCTCATTTTCGACGATATCGTTCTCGTAGATCCAATTTCCTCCCCAGATGCCCTGTCCTCGTCGTCTTTCAGTAGGTTGTGGGCCTGTATTAGGTGAGTTGTCTCTGTCGACATCATTTCCTTGTTCATTATCGATATTTTCCTGTTCGCCACTTTCTGAGCGGTCGTCAGGGAAAATTTCTTCGTTGACGACGGGGTCTAGGTCCACTTCGATGGCGTCGAGAGGGGTTTGGATGACATCTGGCGACTCTCTAGTAGCCACCATTCGTCCTGTCGAGCGACGAACGTCTCGTGAGTGTTCGATTCGTCCCGATCCGTCCATTCTAACGATCCAACCGCTCACACCCTCGTCTTGACCTAGTATAACGGCTGACGAACCCCTAGGTATCGTGAAGTTCGACTTCAGCCTTATCTCTCTTGGTATCTGAACGAAACATCGTTCACCAAATCTCCACACGCTATCTAGATTTGTGTCTCTTCCTGTGAGTGATGTCCAACCTGACTTGCCACTGACACCAATCGATGTTTTCATAATTATAATGGCGGCGTATCTGACAGCATAGGACCAATATTCGTTTGGTAGTCCTGAGTCGAATAACATCGTTGATACCATCCCCTTCAAGGTACGTATCATCCTTTCCGCCACTCCATTTAATTCTGGTGTATATCTTGGTGTGATGTAGTGGTTGATCCCTGCTGAAAGGTAGAATTCCCTCATATCGAGGCTATCGAATTCACCTCCCCCATCAGACCTAATCACCCTCACCCTTTCACCAAGCTGTTTCTCTAATTTTGAGATACACTGCCGAACGATATCTGATGATTCATTCTTCGTCGTTATCGGTATTGCGAATACAATTCGACTCGCCCTTTCTACACCAACGAAGAAATATCGTTCACCTTTTATCGCCGGACCGAACGGGCCAGCAATATTGACATCCATTCCTACTCCTTCACCATCTCCTTTTAACATTGGTGCTTCTTTATTCTTTCGTAGACGTGTTATCTTGGCCTGCATACAGGCGGGACAATTATCGGTTGTAAAGGGATCATTCTTGGAAGTGTCCCAGTCCTTCTTCAATAGTCCCTGTCTACCTAGACTCTTTAGTTTATCTACACCTATATGTCCGAGTCGCTGATGCTCAGATTCAAGTGGTGAAGTAGCCTTCGGTGTCAATATCACGATCATCGCGGCAGACATTGCTCTGCCGAATCGTACCGACCATAGTGAGTCATGTTTCCTCAAACCTAGTTTCTCTTTACCTTTACCTATCCATCCACCACCGCTGCTTAGATTCGCCTTCCACCCCCATGAGAGTAACTTTGAGAGGGAGAGAAGACTTATCTTCGCTGTGGGGACGTGGTGTACATCTTTCAGTACCATTTTCTGTCCTGAATCTAGTTCGAGGTTAATGTCACCTGTTTCCCAAGCCGTCATTGACTTGCCAGATGCTAGTCCGAACACTCTCGGTTCCACTAGTCTTTTAATATTTGTCATTATCGACCTGTGAGGAGTTATATGGTGAGTAGCACCACTATCCACTACCCAGGTGGGGATAACACGAGTGTGGCTTACATCATTAGACTCTGTAGCTAATCCCACCCACTCATTATCCTTATCCTCAACCCACGGGTTTTCAATTTCTTCGGGCCACACAATGTTACTCGTGTACCCTTCGTCATCATCGAACCATGATTCTGTCGACATGGCCATCCCGGCCCACGCCTCATGTTCACCATCCAATGACGAATACATCAAGGAGGTTTTGGAGTTATCCTTGGACTGGTTCTCATCCTTCGAGACCGTATGTCCTTTCTTATTATTCTTATTGTTCCTCCATTTCTTTTTACCTCCATCCTTTCCATCTGCGTTTTCTTTCCTGTTCGTATCCTCTCTTTTAGGTTTACGACAGTACTTCGCTAGATGTCCTACAGTGTCACAGTTATAACACTTTCTGGTTTCTTTCTTGGGCTGACCATCAGAGATATTATCTCGGTTCACCCTCAATCCTTTATTTCCTTCAACGAACATTGCGAATCCCTTTCTATTGGTCCTACCAACAGGGCGCGCTTTACGTCTCGCCGTTTCTTTATTGAAGATCGATAAGACCTTCTCCCAAGTTCTTTCCTCTTCTTTGAGGGATGTTACCTCGATCTGGATGATCCTGAAGGATGGTGCTAGAATGGTATTGAGGAATAACCCAGCTCGATCCTGTGAGTCAAACTTCAACCCTACCAATTTCGCTTCGGACATCGTCTTCGAGAAATCCTCCACATGCTTAGCCATTTCTTCGGCCGTCGCATCGTCCCTTAAGTCATAGCTAAACAACGCTTGACGGACATTCCTTTGATTCTCGATTGTCGATGTTACGTGTAGTGCTTTACAGTAATCCCACATTTCTTTAGCTGACATCTTCTCAGATATATCAAGCATCACTGCATCCGACACTGTTCCCTTGATCATCCCCTGCGCTTTATTCTCCCTCGCTTGCCACTTTTCCCACTCTTTCAACTCTTCTCCAGTAATCCTTCTACCAACCGTTTGCCCTTCGACAGACGTGGTAGGAGGTACTGACCCCGCTCTCACTGTCGCCGGCCTCACCCCTACTCGACCAGGTTTGGTATCATCACCTGTGACAATATTCCACACGTCACCTATTTGAAGATACACCTCTATCGACTTCCTCCACGGAGCATACGATGCTGGATCGTGGGATAACTTTGGGTGGCTCTCAAGAGAGATCTTAGACGACACGGAGGTCATTATGAGGAGAGTTAGAAATGGGAACTTGCCTTTGTTATATTATACACAGAAGGTATGTGACTTCCGACTGTTAATCTGTTTGCTGATATTAGATGATAATACAGAGGGGAAAAAGAGCATGCATCAATTCTACATGTCTCTATACTTATCACATTCCACTCACACGCATAAAACCAGAGACGATCGAATAAAGTTCAGAGGATAAGTTGAACGGAGAAATATTCGACGGAAGGGGTAATTCTAACGGCGGTTCGTCGGCCGTCCCGGCCCGATTCTATCGGCTAACATAGATGGCTTGACCAAGGAATAGTAGGCTATCTAACCTGTGGAGAACAGCAGGGATTACAACATGATGTTTTGCCCTATTTCCTTTCATGAAGCACCTATGATGTGCAGATCAAGTACATGATAGAAGGATCAGTCGAGTTGAAAGCTTTCCTTGACCGCGGGCTCGGATTGCTCCGTGCGAGTTTTTTTGTTAATACGGCTCACTTTGGTGCTACAGTAGAAGATCGACGTGAGAACCGATATTTCCGCCGGACGGATCATCGTCCTCCTTGACGACGCCAACGAGTGGTCTGGCCCGTTCGTTCCTTCTGATGTTGTCATTTCGCCCGACCAAATCGGACAAATGACGAAGATATCGTTCCTTCTTTGTCCAGACCACTGTCTAGACGGGCTGAGTTGATTATGGGAAGGGTATAAATAGGAAAGTTGTCCTTCCCATCATGAGACATCTTCACTTGACAACTTGCCCTTCCTGTCACTCTTGACATCAGAGATAATACACTACAACTTAACTCTATTGTAGTATCCAGATCCGTACTTGACAGAGCCATCAAGACTTCAGCCTCAGTGCATCAATCACCAACCCTCATCAGCCATACCCCCAGGAGTACTGCCATGGATACTGAGCAACTGCTTCACTTGGATCCCGCTCTCACCTTCAAACAGAAGACTGAGGTTGTACCTGGAGAAGAGCCAGGTGTCAGGGTTGTGTCCCAGATTTCAGCGAATTGGCGGCTGGGGACATTGTATCAGATTGCACCAGATATTACTTGTAAGGTGAATAATTCATCCACCCCTGCGACCGATGAGGAGTGTCGGGCAGCTATAGAACAGAAATATCCTCCAAGTGGCAAGGAGATCCGGAACATGGTCTCAACCTTTCAGGGTTCAAACTGTCTGTCTACCCTAGATATGCAGCAGTCCGACAGCTTTTTGGGGTATTCTGGTGTGTGGCAAAGTAAAGCCATACCAAACAAAGTAGTTCTGGTGTATGACAAGCTTGTTGTTTCAGGAGACAATACAGTACATCAAGTCACTGCGGTCAGCCTCACACTCCGGTCCATTCGGAGGGATCAAAACTTCAACCCTGCAGGTCTTCCAGATGAGGAGTTCACATTTCAGACACCATATGCTGTCTACTCACGTGATAGTGGACTCGTTTTCGCTGGAAGTAAAGAACGTCAAAGAGTATTGGAACTTGCAGAGCGGTTCTTAAAGCCAAATGCTCCAGCTGAGTCTATTGATGAGCTGGCCTTAGTCGCAGACAACCGTTTCAGCATGGTGATAGGACAAGCAGAATATGGACCAGCAGTAGTTATTTCTTTTTATACTAAAAACTTGGATAGCGAGAGGAAGGCCTTAAAAGAGTATCTCACATCTGTAGGAACATGCACGGGGGAGGGCATACAGAGTAAATGGGGTGACCATGAAGCTTTAGAGTACATGGTTTGACCAGGCAGCAGGCATGTGAAGGTGAAGAATCAGGAAAATAGAGGCGGGGATGTCCCGTACAGTCGTGAGCACAAAATGCATTCAAGTGCCATGTTGTCACGGTCCTGTCCTTGACAGACCTCAATGGATCAAAGACAGGTAGACTGCAACTGTTTAGTTAGCTTAGACAACGACGGTTAGTATGTTGTCCGTAGACTTGTGATGTGGTCGGACGACTAAGTGACTTGCGAAGGATCCGGGCAGGTCGAGATGACGATAAGGATGTATGTGATGGTGTGGACAGGGGTAATGAAGGTGAGGGATGTGTCGGATGTAAGTAGTATGTCAAGATGAGGTCTTTTGCGAGTGGCAAATAATATTTTGATCCTTCAGAAGAAGAATAACTACAAAGTAAATGTGCTCTTTATATAGTCTACCTAGAGATAGCAAACCTATCCATGATATAGCTCGCATAGGTAATTCTCGAGGCGAAACTACCTACTTATCCCTTGAATTACCTATTCTGCCTATTAACTAACCTATCCCCTGTCTTAGATTACCTATTTCCTATTTGATAACCTATTTGGCTTGTCAACTAACCTATCTAATATGGCCAATCACCTATTTGATATGACTGATTACCTATTTAATATGAGTAATCATCTACTTGATAGGATCAATCATCTATTTAGTCGTCAAACAACCTATCATGGCTTGATCACCTATTGTAGTGATTTGAATAGGTTATTTACCATAGAGATGAGATATGGGTCACGACTGAGCCATAATATCCCGGTCGTGACACATGTATAACACTTGGTGATGTTAGGACCACAGCCAGAGACGGACTACTCCGGAGTCGCATGGTTTAGAACACCCCTTCTGGGGCCAGCTGCAGAACGGTGCAGCTCCAAAGGCACCTGTGCCGGACAGCGTCGCACGGTCGACACCATACGTTGCACGCTCCTTCGACTTGTATCAACTGCATGTTAGGTGCCGCACGGAAGACGTGACCCTTCAAAGGTACACAGGGCATATTGTGCCACAGTGAAGATGTGACTCTTCAAAGGGGCACAACCTCTGTAACAGTGCACCTCTGAAGATGCATGCAGGACTGCCACTTGTGACTTTTTTTCAGAACACCAAGAACTTCCAACACATCAACAACAATTCCTGATTACAAGTCATCACACATCTGTACAATTGTCAGGATCACGGGTACCTCTAGACGGGTTCCTCAAGAGTCGTACGCAGTAGTCGTACTCCACCTACTCGTTCCCGTCCCCGTCTCACTAATCCCGCTACGGCGTCCTCCGTTCTCCTGTCCTACCTAATCGTTACTTCTTTACCATGCTATACTTTTTCTTCATCTCCGTGTCCCTCATCTATCTCCGTCTTCCTTCGCTCTTACACCCCATATCGCTTTCCACATTTACTCCGTAGATTCGGTATCACTCCGCTCCCTTTTAGTATATAGAAACACCCCTTTTTCGTAGATGTCTTGTCGAATGTATTTTCTCGTCACTTAGCAAATCTTTTGCCACTTGATCTCATCGACTTATAGTCTCTTCGATCCACTACATCACTTGACTATAAACTATATCACTAGGTTTGTTCCCTACGAGGCCCTATAGCCATAGCTCATAGACGCAGACTATTTTCAACGTCTGGTCCTGACAACAATCCATTTGATTCAAACTACAACAATGCCCGTTGTCCAGTCACTCTTCAGCCCCAAATTCAAGTTTGGCTTTGAGCAATGGCTCAAAGACTGTCACGAGACCAACTAACCAGCATTGGGACAATACAGTGGGGTGAGGTGGCAGATGGAACACCGGTCAATCTGTGCGTGAGTATGACATCCCGCCGTTAACCTCAATAACTCATGCATGCATTACTCTCATTGCTTGAAACTTGGTATACCTATACATTAGCATCTAGATAACGCATGGACCAAAAGAGAAACTCACCGGATCAATATTTTGTGCTCCCACCGTTGTTCCTTCTGACATCCTTCAACTGCTTCATCATGCTATCAATACTGTTATCTATGACCTCCTGTGGCATCTCCTTCCAAAGCTTTTGAGCGACTTCAAAGAGTTGTTTATCGTTTGTTGGACGTTTAGGTAGCTTCCAGATCTGTTTACGCAGGTAGGCCCAGCAGTTTTTGATAGGATTAAGGGCAGGGGAATAAGGGGGGGGGGGGGGGGGGGTCCACATACTTGAAACATTGTTTCTTCCCTTGGTCACGATTTTCCCCACAAGTATGGACTCTCACATTATCCTCCACAATCCTTCCACCTCCATATGCCCTCCATCTATTGTTGAGTCAAGTCCAAGCTTCTTTGAGAGGCCCCATAGTCACCTGATCTCGATAGATCGCAGCTGTTACGCCACCCCTCTTTCCTTCACTATTTGTTGTGTCTAACTTCACCAATTCTGTCCTTCCTCCATGCCAGATTCCGGGCCGAATCATACAGGACCCCCATCCACCCATGAATTTTGGTGCCAAGCACTCATCCAAGTATTCCTCCCCAGCCATTCATGTCACGTATGACCTGGTAGTCCAATTGAGCTTCAAGCACACTTCATCAACAAATATAGTACGATGCCACTCGTTTAAAGTATCGTTGGCGTGTTTTTTTGCATAGGATAGACGGAGACGTTTGGCACAACTGTCAAGGAATGGTTTTTTGCGAGCTACACATTGTTTGAAGCCCATACGCTTCATATAGACTCGAAGAGTAGTGAGCGAAATCTTGATTTCTTCAGCCCCAAGAAGGCTGACAAGTTCTCGAGGTGATTTACGACGATTCTGAAGGATAACAGCTTTGATTCGACAAAGGGTGCGTTCATTGAATCGTGAAGAGGGTCCAGGCCGAACAGTGGGAGAGGTATTGCCGGTTTGGTGGTACAGGGTCACAAGACGTGAGACGGTGCTGACAGAACATCCATGGGCTGCGGCGACTTGTCGATATGGGGTTGTCATGGCTTTCTGAGCTATCCTGGCACGGGAAATGGGGGAATAGCACTGGCCTGGCATAGTGAGATAGATAGGCAAAGAAGGAAACATATCCGAGCCCATTATCACGTCCCTGCATGGAATGAAAGAGGTAAACATGTAGACGTGTCAAGTGATTGATGAGACGCCATCAAGGTACAAAAGTGTTCCATCTGCCACCGCACCCCACTGTATAACAGTGCCCTTCAGAGACAGTGGCCTAAACCACTGTGCTAAAAGGCCTATTAACCGGCATTTACTGCAAACCGCTGGTAGCTGGTTAAATACCCAACCCAAACACAACTCTAACCAAACTGACTTGTCACTTCGTGACACTGTACTGTTTCCCTCAACAATGCAGGCATCTGCATGCATATCAACCAGATCAATCTGCACACGTTCAAATGGCTTGTCAGACTTGATGGGCTGGAGCTTGCCTTTATCTTAGCTATGAGCTCTGTTCTTTTAGGTCAGCCTTTTGATAGAGAGAGAGCCCATAAAGACTTCACCTGGCAGACATTGCATGCTACAACTACCGCTTTCACCTCTTTCTTCCCAATACCTCAATAATGTGCTCTGATCTCAGCCCTTGTCTTGTTTTGGCCCGCCTGAGTTATAGTACTACAATGGACATGTTTAATTTGAGCAAGTACTTGGGCGATTGGGACCAATTTGTACCAGGTTTTATTGGATGATGGGCAAGTCAAAATGTCCTGCTTGTCCTTGCTTTAAATGGTGTTGTTGGCATACACATGTCATCCAAGAGTTGTGGGGGGTAACAAATGGGGTTGACTCCCCTGTGTGCTGAAGTACCCATTGTTGATTGTTGTACTCCTCATCAGAGATTGCATGGCTGAAGTGTTGGTCTTTGTCACGGCCATCAGATAACTTCTCTCTAACGGACCAACGGTCCACAAACCTTGGCTGACTTGACACTTTGGGTTTGATGTCTCACCCAAACAGGAGGGCGCAGACGTCAAAAGCGGGTGTAACTATGGCGTACTTTGACGTAGTTACTCTAACTAGGGTTTTCTTTGATGGTGATGTATCTCGATTTGAATGTAGCTATCTCTATCAATCTTTCACTACTGACAACAATCAAGGGTTGCTGAAGAGCTTCAGCAATCTTCTCAGCTAATATTATCTACTCCTCCTAGACGTTCACCCAACCCTCTTGCGCTTTGACATACTTCAATGCACTTCGTCCAACTTCCCCAAGTCCCCGGCCATCCTTCTCCCCCCCCCCCCCCCTTCAACTAATTCCGCCTAACATCGCCGCACTTCTGCTCCCATTGTCCCTAGTCTCACTAACTCTGTCTAACCTTTGCCGTAATTGGTCTCAGCTGTCCTGAGTTACGTGTAGATTGGAGAGATTAAGACGTGATGGGGTTTTGATGGTCAAAGGAGGGTTGTTGTTGGTGGGATAGTTGAGGGGTCACGACCTAATTTTGGGACGACGTAGTTTTGGGACCACGGACCACGAAGTCAATCAACTCTCGGACGGTCTTGAAAGCTTTTCCGTGGCGAGCGATTTTATCCAGCAAGTGACTTTTCAGTCCATTCTTCACCCGGTCCACAAGATTCCCATTGTCACTGTCACGAAGTGACAAGACAGTTTGGTTAGAGTTGGATGGGTTGGGTATTTAATCAGCGACCGACGGTTACGCTTAACCGCCGGTTGGTAGGCCTTTTAGCACAGTGGTTTAGGCCACTGTCTCTGAAGGGCACTGTTATATCGTCCCAATGCTGGTTAGTTGGTCTCGTGACAGTCACCCCATCCTAACACCACTACATATTGTTGAAAGGCGGTGGTGAAGTATGCCGAAGCCGACCCATTCTGTTGAAGCTCGTTTATTCCCCTTGCCGCAGTTCCCTCCTTGTCAGGGTCTCTGAAGTTGGTCTTGAGATATTGGATGAACTTCTTATAGTCTAGAAGGTGTTTGGGGGGGTCGTCTTTAGGCGAGTCCAGTTGGACCGCAAGAAGAGGAGTTTCACGTAGATGGGAGATCATGAAAAATATTTTTACTCGGTCGATGGGGAACTTGCAAGCGTTGATTTTGAAGATAATGTCACATTCTGAGATGAAGGCGGTGAGCTTTGACCTCTCACCTCTCCACAGGTATGGGAGGGGAAGCTTTATTCCTCCACTCATCTCAGCAACCCCTGGGGTGCCAAAGCCTGCCTTCCCATGGCGAGTCGTACCCCTTCAGAGATCCCTTTGACTATTTCCCCAACCGTCTCTTGTTCCTTCTTCTTCTCCTGCTCCTCTTGATGTTTCCTCTCTGCTATCATATCTTTATTCATTTCCATCATCATGTTCATTATTGCCAGCATCATCTTCTGAGTTGTAGCTTCCTCCTCCGTTCCTCCTACTACTTCGCTCCCCGCCAAACTTAGTCTACTTTCCGCGTTCCTCTCCCTGGGTCGTGGAGTTTGTCCTGAACCTTCGGAACCTGTCCTCACAGTTGGCGCTTCTGATAGTCCAATTGGCTGAGGAGGTGGTTCAAGGGGTAGGGGAGGATAGAAATCATCTCCTTGGGTCGATCCTTTGGGGGTATCATTTGCACCAGGCAATTGTCCCAAACTCTGTCTTAACTCCTCCAACATCCTCCTTTCCGTCTCTTCTACCGTTTCTCCTGGTCTACTCATATTTCTTGTAACTCTCCTCTCCGGCTGCATAAAACTTCGAACTTCTCCGAGGTTTGTACGGGTCGTTGGTAAGAGCGATCCTTGATACTGTCACAGTCGTCGTTCCTTCTTCTCTACTGACTGACAGTCAACGAACCTTGGCTAACTATGTTGTAGTGGGGTGTCGATGTCTCACTAGGACAGGGTACTTGTCGGGGAACTACGGCTAACTTCGCCGTAGTAATACGTCAAGTGGTGGATTATAAGGTGATTGTCGATCGCGGCTAACTTTGCCGTGGTGTGTCGCTGTTACGACTGAGAGCTAGGCAGTGACCAGACCCAACTTCAGTGGACAACAGCGACGGAAGACAAAGTGATAGCGTAGAGTGGATTGGACAATGATGACAAGCACCTCAGTGGTGAATGTGTTATGACATGAGTCACTAAGATAACAAGGGGTGAGCAGAGTGAGTGGCAAAGTTTTATGAGAGTAACTTATGAGAATTCATCAACAGAGGGAAAAGAGTGAATTCAGCGCTCTTATATAGCCCTCTGTTTCTACCGAACTAGAAACTAAACCGGCTACCTCCACCTTGCTGAATCATCAATGACATCATGATTGATAAGCATCTGAGTAAGCAGCTTATCAAGCAATGATGTCATTGCTGATCAAGCAGCTGAGTAAGCACTACTAATCCCCATGCTGAATCAGCAATGACCAATCCTCACTGAGTCTCTTAATGTCCTGATCTCTGTCTACAGTAAGTGTTCAAAAGTCATGGAACGCGACTTTCCGCCACTTCTGTAGTAATTTGGCTGACAACTGTCAAGCCTCATGTTTGACCGCGATGGGGTCCCTCATTAAGCCATGCATGCCTCTCAGGAGCAGATGACTGAATCTTTGAACTGTGGAGATTCCAAAACTACTCTCAAAACAGAAAATGTGTAATAAAAAGTGCATACTATAAGCTTTCAAAGTGGGAGGGGTTTTGCCCAAAAAGCGCCACACTCAGCCAAATTGGTCAGAAGACCCCTTTCTTCCCGACAATATCCTCATAACTTTTCAGTAACAATGTGCTCCCCAAACTTACTCTAAATGCTCATTTCGGACTGATCTACAAGTTCATCCATACAAAGTATGGCTCAATTGGCCTGTGAGAAGTAACCACAGGTCAAAAAGGAGGTGCCACGAAACCTTCCTAGGTCGTGATTTACACCCAGATTGTATGGCTTGTGACATGTCATATACTTATGCAGCCATGCTATACTTCTGCCAAAACCTTAAGCACTATTCTGGCACTGCATGTGCTGAATTTCAGAGCCTCAAAGTGTAGCATGCATGAGTTATCAACGATAATGTCGGATCATCCCTAAGGCGGCATATTTTCACGTGTTCCATGACTTTTGAACACTTACTGTAACTCTGATAAGCTTCATTGTCCTATTCCACATCATGCTCCTTGTCATGCTCAATCATACCTCCTTGTATGCAGTGTCATGACGGTCAAACTGCTCTGTGGTAGCTCTCCCTAACTCGATGGTGGTAGCTACTGAATATATCTCTTGCTACTGACAACAGTCAAGGATCGCTGAAGAAGTTCAGCAATCTGTAAACTATCTATACCTCTCCTCTCTTCTCATAGAACGTCCCTCAACTCCTGCACAGCCTCACGCTTAGTCCTCTTCGTCCAACCTCGCCGTACCTTGCCATATCCCCAATATTCTACTCCGCCAACTTAGCCGCACTTCGCTTAACTTCCTCCACTCTGCTTTGTCTCCCTCGGTCCTCTTCTCCTAACTTTGCCGTAGTTCTCCGCCAGGCGGGGTTGTCGTGACAAATGTCCCCTAGGTTCTCATAACTTCGTCGTAGTTGGTCTCAGTGGTCCGGATGATGGTGGATAGGGGTTCGGTGATGGTGAAAGGAGGGTTGGTGATGGTAGTTGTCAGGGATGTCAAGACATGGTTCGTGACACTCTCCCTCCTCTATCTCCCCAATATTGGCCTCCCTACCCCTCCCAGGGCTCTTCTAGACATCCCTATGGCTCATATTATCCTCCAGGACATTGATAGATAATAGAATGCATGGACAATGACAGGAAATGACATGGTATAGCTAATACTGACGTTGGCAATGAAAGAGAAGAGTGAGCAATCAGAGCTCGCGGCGTTACTGAAACGCCGGGGTCTATGCGTACCTGACCACGTGTTGTGTCAGGGTGGTGCGCAGAGGGGACAAGGGTGGTGCGCCAAGAGGTCGTCCTTTACTAGGACAGCTTCCTATGTTCATCAAGATGTGATTGGTTGGATCGACCATCAGGTGGGATCTCATGGAGGGATCTGCAGTAGTTGCGACTAAGGGTTGGGCGTACAACATTGTGTTCTCTGGCTATGGTGGAGAAGTTGGGTACTTTAGGAGGTATGACTTTGTGACAATCAAGTAGAGCAGCAGTTAGGGACTGCAATGGCATGTTTTTGGTACTTGTAAGAAGGAAATTCAAGGAGATATACAGAGAGACAACATAAAAAAAGAGAAGAACACGCATGCATTTTGGATGTGCAAAGTAGTGTCGACCGTGCGATGCTGTCCGCCACAGGTACCAAAACTTGTCGGATTTCGCTAGGCAGCTGTTAACATGGGAGTGACATGATCCGTGCAACTTCCACTTTAGTGTTAGGCTGAAATGGGAACTCTCTTTTTCTCCAAAGGAGACCTCCTTTTCTGATTACATGGTTCAGGGCTCTGACGTATATCGAGGAGAGATGATGCGGCCGGATCATGGTAGACCCGGGGACGCACTCTCCACTCGTTCACGTCCAATGACGTTCATGCTCCGATCAGGTCGGAGGGTGTCAGGACCAGACGTTGTAGATAGTCTGCGTCACTTGTGCTATGGCTGTAGAGGCCTCGTAGGGGACAAACCTATTGATGTAGAAGATCTAATAGACCTGAAAGGTTATCGAGATCGAGTGGCGAAAGATAATACTAAAGAACACAAAATACATTCGACAAGGGGACTATGGAAATAGACTGCATCTATATAGAAAAGGGGAACGGGGTGATACCGATGTAACGGAGTAAAGACGGAAATGGACATGGGGTAGAAGAGCAAAGTAAGACGGAGATCGATATGAGACACGGGGATCGAGGAAAAGTATCATGTGGTGTGAGAAAACGGAATAGGGGTAGTAGGAGAGGACATGGTAATGGAAAAGAAGTACGACTACTACACTCCCGTAACCAGGTACCCGTGATCCTGACATTACACCCCCCCTTCGGTAGACGTCGTCCCGACGTCGGCTTGATAAGTCCCCCAATCCAAAAGAGTCGATGCGAAGAATATGAACGAATGTAAGATGTCAAGAAAGTACTGCCCATCCTGGAAACCCAACTAGGGGCTGTCGAAAACAAAAGAGTGTCTGTAAGAGATGGGAATATACATGTCACCCGCCGTATAGGTGTGTCGAGTGTGGATAATCGAATGAATGATATGGTTTGGATGTATAAGAGCACCTCCAGGGCCTCTGTGAAGAATAAATTTCTAGATGCTTTTGAACATCGAATTAATTGATTCGGTATCAGACTTTAGCAAGTTGGGATTCATTCTGAGGTAGTTGAATTCCCATTTGGTACGATTGAGATTCTTCAAGTGGTTATAGAGAATCGAAGACCGGTTGTCTAGGATAGAAACATGATCCGTGTTGACAGGTGTAAGGAAACGTTTATGGTGTGACCATATTCCTTGGTGTGGTGGTTGGTATCCTGCAAGGGTATAACCAAACCGATGAACGTTGTTCGAAAAATCATTGATTGAGGACTCTATTTTCTGAGTGACCTCTTTCAAAACGGGTTTGCCAGTCATTGGACACCAACAGGCTTGATTGGTATTTGAAATGTGAGGTATCAAATTCTCTGTTGTCCAATCGATAAAAGGAATGGGCTTGTTGAAAAAAGGGAAGCCAAGGACGAAGGGGGTACAGAAGATCTTGGTGACTGTGAAGGTAGTCTCATAGGGCTCAAGACCTTCGCCAAGTAGCATTTGAAAACCAATCTCCTGCGTCGGAAAGCGTATAGTACTGTCCGGAAAAAGGAGAAGTTCTGCTTTGGCTTTTTTAAGAGGGCTGTGTCCAAAAGGGACTGGGGATCCTTCGTCTTCTAAGTCCTCTGTTACACCACTGTTGACCATGGCTTGAGAAACTATGGGGTCTTGTTGGGAAACTATGCTGGGAGTAGTAAAAATCGGGAGGGGCTTGATAAGATCTGGGATAGGTATTGTTGATTGTAGAGGTTCTGTGATCATTGCGGAGAAGTGCAAGTATCTCCCTGAGATGGCCTCCTCTGTTTCCGTCTCCCCCTGATCTGTAATCTTGGAGGTCAAAGTCCCGTTGCAATTTGAAGTCTTGTCTGTAATGCTTGATAGGGATGTCGAGAATGGTTCTCCTTCATTGACATCAGACTGGGGGTAATCAATGTCTTCATAGTAGCTTGAAGAATTTGGATCCCCATTTGTAGAGCTCTGGGAGGACTCATTCGGAATTCTATCAGGGGTCTCCGAGTTGGTCTCGCTATCTTCCTCATCTCGCAAATCCCCTGTTCCAAAATCTTGTTCCCCTTCACTAAAATCTTCTATCGCTTGAAGATGACTATAGAGACTAATGGCTTGATCTGCCAGGTCTTTGAGTGTTTTGGGTTGGACTTCATGATTTGCAAGGGCTAGGCGAATTTTTGGGGATAGTCCTGATTCAAAAGCATCCTTCAGTGCTTGGTCATCCCAATTAACATTAACAGCTACTGAGAGAAAGGAGCTGTAGTAATTGGAAACCGAGTCGACTTGTCGAATTTCTTTAAGGCGTTGTAGGGAATAGCGATGCCTGTCCGGATCCCCAAACATCTTGTACACTTCTTTTATGAACAAGCCCAAGTCGAAAATCCACTGGGGCTGCTCCTTTTCTGATTTGGCAAAGTAGGCTTGCCACCACTTTTCTGCAATACCACGAAGATATCCGGCTGCCCACAATACCTTTATTCTATCACTTATTGTCCCTCCTCTAATAGCCATATACAATTTTACTTGGGCCACATAATCGTCAACCTTTGAGGGCTCTCCCGCAAAGGTTTCAGGGGTTTTGACATCCAACTTGTGTATATCCACAAACAACGAGTCCTGGTAGGAATTGAAATTGTTATTGACTGGGTGCGGAGTGTCCATTTCAGAAAGGGGAGGCTGTTGATAGAAGACTGAGGATGTTGTGATAGGAAATGGAGTTCTTATGTTATGGGTCGGATTGGGGTGGGGTGGTTCTGGAATTGGTAAAGTATGATTTACAAGGTGCTTTGGGAAGATGTTTTTCGATATGGGGTGATTGAGATTAGGCAATGGTTGATTTGAATTTGATTCATTGTGATTGAGATCCGAAGTGGTAGTCTCTGGAGCGGACCTGTGCATTGTAGGTACCTCCTTGGTGTTCTCTGTTTCTTTTTTGCCTTGGCGAAGCAAAACAACCTCTTGAAGGTTAGCTCGAAGTTCTGAAATTTCCTCTAGTGACTGAGTAAACAGTTCTTTCAGTTCTTGTCGGAGTTGGCGGAGTTCTTGAAGATTTGCTTGAGAGGCATTATCTTCATACCGAGTGTTACTACTTGCTTCTCGACATGGTGTTGGCAAGTTTGGAGTTGACATTGTCTAGATTTGACTAGGGGTTGTCGAAGATCAAATAGGTGTTGTCCGGTACGAGTATGGTCGAATGTATTTTATGTCAGGACCAGACGTTGTAGATAGTCTGCGTCACTTGTGCTATGGCTGTAGAGGCCTCGTAGGGGACAAACCTATTGATGTAGAAGATCTAATAGACCTGAAAGGTTATCGAGATCGAGTGGCGAAAGATAATACTAAAGAACACAAAATACATTCGACAAGGGGACTATGGGAATAGACTGCATCTATATAGAAAAGGGGAACGGGGTGATACCGATGTAACGGAGTAAAGACGGAAATGGACATGGGGTAGAAGAGCAAAGTAAGACGGAGATCGATATGAGACACGGGGATCGAGGAAAAGTATCATGTGGTGTGAGAAAACGGAATAGGGGTAGTAGGAGAGGACATGGTAATGGAAAAGAAGTACGACTACTACACTCCCGTAACCAGGTACCCGTGATCCTGACAGAGGGACCACTCCGTTGATCCTTCTGGAAGACGCAAGGGTGCTAGGGTTCTTCCCATAGATATTTAAACAACAGGGGAGGGCCTTCTGCATACCTATCCTCACTCAACTGCTTGACCTTCACCATGGACGCTTCCATCCCCACCGATGCGCAGGAACTTTTCTTGATGCTTCTTGGCTTCCAAGGGTGTGGGTCAACACAAGTAATTCCCTTATCTGACCAAGTGAAGCCTTCTCAGGGCACAGCGGATAATCATGAAAGCCCTTCTCAGGTTCTCCAGCGGAAGCCTAACACTGATGGTGACAGATTTCAACTCTGGCCTGAGATAGACGGGGGAGAGACACTGGATATTGAAGAGAGAACACAAATAGAAGACTACACCTCTACCGACAAAGGAAAGAAACACTTAGGCTCCGGATTTGATCCGAGACAGAAGCTCAAAGATTCATGTAATGCACCTTACATGACATGTTGGGTTGTTGAGCCAGACAGAACAGATGGCTCACCCATTGTTACTTGGGTTAAGCAAACCTATGTTGCCGAGGATTATGACACACCTGACGCAACTAATTTAGCCACTGATCATCAGGTTGTCCAGTTAAGACTGATACCTGTTGTCAACACTGAGGGTAGGCCTGATGACAACCAGATTCAGGAAGCCATTCAAAAGATGATCCTACCCCCTGAGCCTGAATTCTTGAACAAAATTGGTCACTTGGTAAGAACAACCTCACTATCAGTTGTCACCCCAAAAGAGAGGCTTGCAGTTCAATCTCTATTGGGTGATTCAATTTCATTTAAACAGGCAGACAACTGTATTTTTGAACAATACAGGGAGCCGTATCCAAATGATTTTAATAACATGGCGGGCTGTGACAGGTATCACACAGTGCGTTACGACTTTGAATCTGTGGAGAGATTTGCAAGGGCAGCCTACAAAAGTACCTCACAAACCTCAGGGCCAACATTGAGTGTTCCAATTGCTGGCATGATTATAGTTGCCAGTCTCAGACGGGCCACTAGAAGGGTTTGGGCCAAAGCTGTTACATACGTGAACAGCTTGAATGAGGCAGTGAGCGATGCAAGCTTGACAAAGTACGCATCGGATGGGATCATACCAGAGTTGACGGTGCTAGTGCGCGCAAGCCAGGGCATACTACCAGAGTTGGAGCACGTTCAGATGTTAGTGCTTGACACGGAGGGCCGACTGATAGTGACAAGAGCTACACTTAGGGTCAATGCTGTACTTTCAATGGTCACACGTATCACTAATACGGGACATGCGACATCACGCTGCAAAAAGATGCTTTTAGCTCTTCCGTCTCTCACGGAATAAGAGATGGAATACAGTGACCATTCGTTGGATGTCAGTCAAAGTACTCTCGGAACAAGGAGGAAACTGGAGAGACCTCGCAGCATACATGGCGTAGATCGACCGGGGAATGCATGTTAACAAGTGATCTCGGAGAAACATTGCTATTTAGGCCCTGCTGAACGTCCCCATAGGGGATCACGATAGGTGATAAGTTGCCCGGGAGAGTGAGCAATCATCGGAGCTGATTTAGCCATCCGCGCTCGTAACGACTTGAGCCGAGCGGCGGGAGTGTCCCTATTCCAAACCTCCGGTCTGTTACGTATACCGGGTTCCAATGTAGGAAGACCGAATTGTTGCACAATGAACGAGGCAGAAACAGTGGCGTGAAGCGCAGCTATCAGTCAGCGGTGCCCGACGGTAGAGATAGCAGAAGGGAAACCTTTCGAGTCAGATTAAAAAGCAGACTTATTCAGGTCTCCATTCCTGTCAGACAAGCAGATGGGTGGAGGGAGAATATCTCAAGGAATTGAATGCAAGGTGTAGGTCAGAGAACAGCATGTGTGGAGAGGGGTAGATCAAGTAGAAACAAACACAGACTGACAGTATGAAAATGTGACATGAAGATGATGCAGGAATGAAAGAGGTGCAGAGAAATGTAAGGTTGATTGAACTTGCCTTCATAATGATCATCGTCTGACAGATACAATCCAGCCACATAACCTCCCAAGAAAGCGTTCCCTGCTCCTGTTACATCCACCACCTGTCCTACATCACCATCTTGAACAACCCTTGATTTATTTACTCGATCACTTCCAATACTCTCCGTAAATCCCGGTCCGAAGAAAGCGGGAAACCATCTGATGCCTTTGGCGCGGGTACCGACACAAGACCCCAATGGACCGCATCGAACGACTATGGCCCCTCTGGAGTTCGGACCGATACCAAGATTGAGAAGATGGTTGACAATCTTATTGACTGTAAGGGGGATATGGGGGTCGGTGTAAGAAGGTTTTGGGAGACCGTAGAGAGAGAAAAGTTCTTCGTGATTTGGTCTGCTATCAGTTAATTTGATCTCAGATCACGTATTTATGTTAGATCGACGAAGTCGGCATATGCTTACGATTCTTTGGGGGACTTGGGTGATGGACATGTGAAAGGGAGTGTTGACTTACGATAGAACCTCTATACCTGGTAAAATCCTTTCTAGCCATTCTCTTTGACCCGGATGACAGCTAGGCGGTGTGGGCTCGAATACGATCCTGGGTTCCCATATTTCTCCTTGAGAACGCAGGAAGTTCTGTTCTTCCAGCAATCGCCATACATCTTCAGGTGAGAAAGGGGGTGCGATATGAAGATAGGTAGAGCCGTATATTGGAGTTGAAAGTAGAGATGAGAGAGTGCGATGGGGAGCTTTGACGATATGCTGATAGCTGGTTGTCAGTGAGTTTTCGGTGCACCATCGTACCTTTACCTAAAACCACTTGTATAGACAGATGGTCATGGCATGTTCAAACGAGAGAAAGTGAGAGGAAGTACGATTACGTCGACAGCAGGAAGAGTTTTCAAGGGAACGATCGATAATCACTCACACCCTCACATCATCATCGTATCTTATCCTAGCTTTTGGCATCCTCTTTCCTTTTCCCACATTCCAGACCCACATATCTCCAAAGCTCTCCAATATCCTTTCAGAATCTTCCGGCACATCCCCCGCTTTCTCCTCTGGGGTCGATCGATCAATGATAGTTTTCAACCTTTCTGGTGAAAGCCACATACGTGCTCCTATCAAAGTGTACAGTGCGCCTCCTCCGATGACGTCGTATGTGTCAAGGTCGGTTATATCGTGGTGGAAACTCTTTTGGGGTGTCAAAGAATTCAAACCTGCCGTTGCAGAAGCAGGATGATTGCCGTTTACTGTGAGTAGCGTTGGGTTGATGGAACCTTTGGTGGAGGGCGATCTAGTCAGAGTGGGATGCAGAGATGTCTGCGAGGTTGAATCGCGTGAATGGATCAGGGGTGGGATTGTCCAATTGGGCGAAAGCATATTTGGAAGATGAAGTGAAGGTTTCATTGACTTTCTTGAATTGCTCTCGGACTTCTTTCCGTTTGAATGTGAGAGTGCTTGTCGTAATGCGGCGAAACTGGATTTCGTGTGGGCTGAGGGAGGGGTGAGGTTCTCATTCTGACGATAAGACGGGGATAGAGGAGATGTGTTCCTGGGGGTAGGGATGGAGTTAAAGTTCGATTGGACGTCTGGGAAGGTCTCGGTTGGGTTCGGGGTGGGAAGTGGGGTTGGGACCGGTGTGACTTCTTGTGTTGGACGAGGAGGAGATTCAAAAGAGTCGATCAGGACGGTCCCTACGTGTCAGCGAGGTGTATGATCATGGTGGGGGGATGTAGATCATGTGCGACTCCACAAAGTGCGCAATGAGAAAGGTCAGCGACGGGGAAAGCAGATTGCCAAATGAAAGATATCATGGCGAGTCGACGGACTCATCGGAGTGAAGATAGCTTAATAAGAATGAATTGAAGAGAAGCAAAGAGAGCAAGATTGTATGAGAAGGGACTCACCGATAGAAGCAAGTATGGGACGTTCTGTCCCGTCCAGCTCGTCGAAAGGAAGCATATAAGGTGACATGTTATGTGTTGTTATCAACTCTTTCAGAATTGTCATCACCAATTAGGAGTGTCCAATGATCCGGGATGAACGAGTGGCCAAGAAGAAAACAAGCTATATATATCGTGTAAAGGTGATAGTCGGACACGATAATCTTCCAACGACCCTAAATTGAGTATACTACAATCGACACGATTACACGACGATCTAGTCGTAACGGGGTATACGGGGAAGATCTTCCTGTTGAGCGGCAAAGAGGTATCGTACTGTTCTCGTAGCATGATACAGTGTACCCGTCAGCTCGGACAAGGGATGATTAGACAGTTGACGACTTGCATCGGTTTGAGGGGTAACAAGTGGGGGATAGGCGATAACCGGATGAAAGGATCACCCTCGATCGTAAGGGGAGGGCGGAAACGATATGAAGGGGGGAAGGGGGAGATGGGGAGATGATTTGAAGAAGAATGAATGAATGGAAGGTGTTAGATAAGTCGGATAAGTGAACAGCTGATACAGTCCGAAACTGATGGTGATGGTCAAAGTTTGACTCGTATCATGGTATCATGTGTGGCTTACTTTTGTCGATCTTTGATGTTTGATGTTGGATTATCATTCAACCCGGGGTATTGGAGATGACGAGTAGAAGCATGTGGGGGTAGGGGAGAAGAGGTTTTCACGAGAGAGAAAGAAGAGGAATGGGGTATAGGGAAAAGAGGCTTATGAAGATCTGTGTATGTGATGTCTTTCAAGGTCAGGAAAATGTACCAGAAGAGGGAGAAATCGTTGGAGAATCGTAAAGTTTACTCTTCGGTCCGAAAAGTTTGAATGGCGTCATCTAATCTCGATCGTAGTCGTAAGTCGTACCTCTTTCTCGGACCCGAATCATCTTCCCCGAAGTCATCCTCACTACGAATACTTTACAACGTCAGCCGATGTCATAGAGTCACGTATGGTCAGACGGAGTATTCCGAGGCCGAGGAGGGGTGGAGGGGATGGGAATCAGCTTCTGTGCCAAGAAAATCGTCAGTTGTCGTGGGGTCACCAAGTGATGTTTTACAGTACGCCACACACGTTTCCCGACGTACTACTACTATGTATCACTTGTACTCTCGTCCCGATCATCTCCGCTACATTCAAACGGACGACACCAAGCATGTCCAGCACCTCTACCCGTGACGCGTAACAGCACTTCCTCATTATCGTTCGCTCACCTGCGATCGCAAATTCGCTTGAACCCGACGCGTCGACGCGTCCGAGGTGAGACCGAATTGGCAGGAAATGATTCCCCCGTCGAGTTACTCCTCCGTCCTCAGGTTTATCATCTCTCTTCTTCGCTACCATCACGTCCATCCCACTGACCCGCTCTTCTCCGTATCCTCTGACTCGTAGCGATACCCGCTCAATGGATCATCGCCTATTCGCTACTCCGTGATACCCGCACGAATAGATCACTCCTCGTAACCATCACATCCCACAACTCACCATCGACCACACATCACAATATCGACGTTGAGTGGCTATCGTTATCAAGATTATACTTTCTTGTTGACCCCGCTCGCACGTCCTTGATCCCTGTTCATGTTCCTGGAAATTCATTCAGGAGGATCTACCGTCGATCCCCCAGATTTTCGACTCCATTCAATCGCCGGTATTCCCGGACAATATATTGCCATTAGTCATTGTCATTCGGAATCACAAGTACTCGCAATGTATCCAAAACTATCACTACGAGGTCAAAAGTACATTCTTGAGTGACGTACTGTAAGAAGAAATAAAGTGAGAGAGAGAGAGGTCACTCAAAGGGCGTTTACAAGATGATCGATCTTAAAACTCACTTACATACTCCTGAAATTCTGATTCCACTGACTTTAAACGCCCTAAACATTATCGAACCCTCCTTCTTGAATCTTTAATGTTGCTCACAGACCATCTGTATACTGATGATATAATTAGAAGTCAGAATATCTTCCAAACTATTTACCCCTTAGAGGCCGGGACGTAGTGATTAAACTCGACAATCTCGATATTCAATATGTTCAACAACTCATCCATCTGAATTCAGTCTCTCTTCCTCCGAAAAAGTAAGTTTCTCCGTCTCTTTTTCTTTCCCCTCCTTTCTATCTGAACTTCTTCTTTTACCATGTCGTCGCTAAGAGGTAACTTATCAGCTGAGTGCCGGGCACTGGGACAGGATTTCAAATTGGGTAGATCCTTCTTCGTTTAATAAACGATTGAAGTTGATGTACAGATATACTTTGACCTAAACACAGGATTTCATTGGACGATCGTCGTTGATCAATCCTCAGATAGATCTACAGGGAGAAGGGTATAGCTTCGGTCTATCATCTTCTCATCAATTATCAATCAACATAATGCCTCTGTCCCTGAGAACGAGTAATATGGTGGAAAGTATGAAAGATCCCGAGACGAATTCTATTTCTGTCCAAGAATTTAGTGGAGAAAGGAGAGAAGATGATTGGTCAGGAAGAGGTTGGAAAAGATGGAAGGGGTGGAGAAGATGGTTTAGTAAGGAAGGATGGAAGTTGAGAACAGACCCGGCGAGTTTTGCAACTAGAGAAGGATGGAGTAATTCGGATGTAGATGTTGTTCCTCCCGAACAGCGAAGATGGAGGGAGTGAGTCTTTACCTCCCTTTTCTTGCCTTCTGCCATTTCGACTAGCATGTACTGTGTTACCTTGACTTCTAAGGCTTCATCATTGACTCGAAATCCCCCACTTCTTTTCTATTCTCCTGACGGGTTTCCTTTCCTCGATCTCCTCGTGATCCTCATGCTTCAGTCTCCGAGTCGGTCGCCATTCCCACATCGATATTGTGCTTCGATACATGACTGATTTGTCATCCGGAAGAGTAATAATGGACAGACTCAATTACCTCTTCCTCTGGTTATCAGACGGTGCCAACGTGGGTACTATGCAGCAAGCTGGAAGTATAATTTCTCTCGGATTAAGTTGGAGGGAAGCGGCGGTAGCCATGTAAGTCATTAATTTCCTTTTCTGTCATGACCTCATCACGAAACCCATTCTATCACTTTTCTCTAATCGGAGTTCTCACCTCCCTTGACTTCAAATCGCCTCGACACTATCCCCGTTTTTCTGGGTCCCTCCCTAATGTCTCATCTATCTTCCCACTTTGGTCTGATAGGATTACGAGAGACACCTGCGTCTCGTCATCCCATCATACCATCTTCTGTCTTCTGTCTTCCTGTCTTCCGGCGTTTGAATGACGAGACTGTCATGACCGGGTAGCGAGCCCGCGATCATAAACCGTCCTAAAAGGCTCAATATAAAGTCTGCTAGTGAGAGTTGATCTCGCTATAAGTACTGGTTGTGACAGAGACAAACATGAGATCAACTCGGCTGAGAAGATTTTCAAAAGGAACCTATGACACTGTCACTCACAACCAGAGCAATAGGTAATATCATCATAGCCATCACTACCACTCTAAACGGGATCATAGGAGCCAAACATCATATTCCTTTTCCTATCATCTCTCGAGCTTCTATGGGATTTTACTTTTCGTATTTCGCCGTGCTCTCTCGTTTAGCATTAGGTTTGATTTACTTTGGGTTAGTCATTCTCTCTCTTCTCTGACTTTACTTCCCAAGCTCGCCTCAAACCCATCTTCCCCCTTCCCTCCAACTGCACCTCCTCTCATCACATTTCTTCCCTTTTGACACTTCCTAGGAAGCCGGCGATCTTATATCATGTGTGTATGATGTTCAGTGTGTAATCACACGCTATCGCATTCGAAGGAAATGGCGATCTGGTGATCATCATCTCATCAGAATCTGCACGCGCATTCGCTATTTCTTCACACAATGTCTTGGGATTTCATGTTGGCAGATACTCGAAGGAAGAAAAAACTGAATGATAGAATCAACACATATATCGGAGCATCATGTACACTCATCATGCTTGAATCGATTTGGCCATCCTTCAAACACTTTCCAAATCGATTACCACCCAATGCAGGAGTGACAAGTAACAAAATGATTGCTTATTTCCTTTTTTGGTGCTGTAAGTTACTTTCTTATCCCCTCTATCCTTTTCCCAACTCCACAACATCCTTGTGTATTCTTCAGTCCAAAGACTTACCCCTGGATTCTCAAATCTAATTCTTGCATTCATCAAATGCTTCTCATCTTCAACAAAGCCGTTTCATTTCTGAGATAGGCGGGCACGAGTACAAGTACTGAATACTGCATGAGGATTCTCCTTTTCGACGCGAGGAAATCGATTATAAGACATCTGACAGAGCTGATCACCCAGTACAATTCCCACTCGTCTTAATCCATCCAAGAAAAATGCGTTGGTTATTCCTCATCAAATCACTCTTTGCCGTCACCGCTTCTTTCGCTTTATTAGGTTGGTGTGTTCATACAGCTGGAGGAAGTGGACCTATCTTTTCTCAAGATACTACTGTTAAAGGAAGTGAACGATCGTGGGCTTGGGTAGCAGGGATGAATATTGCGATTTCTGGAAAAACGACTTTAGCTATTAATATGGTTTGTCCTTGAATTTTCCTTCCCTTTTCAACTCTCCCTATCGGCCTCTTCCTTCAGTATAATCCAAGCTTCCAAGAATATCTCTAACACTTCAAGCCTCTGATCTTCACTCTATACTCTTCCTCTCTCATCTCTTCAGTCTGAAGGGGGAGTCTCATATCCGTTATTAATCAAACCCCACACTCTATCTCCATCACTCAGTCCTCAGCCAATCACTTCACATCCATCTCCCTCTCTTCCTTTCGCACTCCCCCTAAGATGACCGATCTCTTATTTTTACTTCTCTCCGTGGAGGTGTCTATAAGATGCACAGATAACAACTCACCACAGCCCGATCTCACTCGTTACGCACGTAAACCTTCAGATTCATACTGGCAACTCCTCTTCATCCCTCTCATCTACTTTTCCTTCTCTTTCATAGGTATTCTCATAGCTTCCTCCGCTCAAACAATCTACCATCAATTATATTGGGATCCAACATCTATCATCTCCCTTTTACCTTCTCGATCCGGTTCTTTTTTCTGCGCCTTCGCATTCGGTTTAGCAACGTTAGGAACCAACATCTCGACAAATTCAATAGCAACAAGTAACGATTTAGCTTTTCTCTGGCCGGGTTATGTCAATTTAAGAAGAGGAGCTTTTGTGACTAGTTTGGTTGGGGGATGGTTAACTTTTCCTTGGAAGATACAACAAAGTGCGAAGGCTTTAACTACTTTTTTGAGTGGTTATATCGTGGTTTTAGCTCCGATTTTGGGTATAATGGTCAGTTGTTTGATTCCTCCTAGCGTTCTAAGACCCAAGTACCAAATTTCAAATACCAAATACCAAAAATCGAATGTTAGCATTGTGATATGATAGTTTAAATCTAGATTGAAAGAATCTATATCTAAATCACAAACTGTCTCGTAGTTGTGTAACTCAAATGTAGACTATGGGAGGTTGAGATAGGTCAAGTGCATGATTGGAGTTATTGTTGGACATGATGTACGAATACCATATCATGTGACTGAGCTGAACAAGAGAGAGATAAAAATTGTGAACGATCATTGATGAACAGATCACGGATTATTGGATCGTTCGTAAAGGTAAATTACACATACCAATGTTATACTCCAATCAAGGGATTTATCGTTATACTCGTGGTATAAATTTCAGAGCTCTAGTCACATTGTTGATTGTTGTACCTGTCAATATACCAGGTTTGGTGAATGCTATTCGACCTGAAGTGAAAGTGGGAATATATGATGATCTTTGTAAGTCTCCCCTTTCCCCTCACCAACTCTTCTTTGATATCGTTCCCCAAGTTTGTGTCTTTCTCTATCTATCTCTCTCCATGATCAACATCATCTTTCATTCTTATAATCTCACTAACTTTATCCCTTTTTGCCTCTGATATCCAATGTTGGAAAGTGTACGTAGGGCGCACGGACCTAGCAACAACCGTCTCCACCATTGGTACGACAAGCAACTCAAAGACGAATGAATACATGCGGGAGAGGGTAAGACTAAACTTCAGATAAAGCATCATGGTTCTTTTCTTTCTTCATCGCCATATTCATCTACCTCTTCATCTGTTGGATCTTCCCGCCAACATCAACGTTCGTATCGGAAACAGTGGAAGAAGTAGACGAACCATCCGTTCTTTCAACAGATATTTGTCCCGTTCTACCCGTGTCCATATCGAATGAGAAGGATGAAGAGGATATGAAAAGGGATGATATGATGAAAACAGATTGAGGGGGAAAATTGTCAATGTTGCTTCTTTGTGAAAGTATTGTTCTCACATGTCAATTGTTTGCTGTGTTATTGAATGCATCCTTCATGTTCACTTTGCATCTCTCTCTACTCATGAAATTCCACCACACTTGTATCTCTTGACGTTGTGCAATATTCAACAATAATACATGATCATGTTACATGATTGAAACAAATATTGTACACTATATCTCCATTACATAGTCTTCACGAACCATCTGATCAACTTCACAGCCTTCTGGATATTGTCTTGGATAATTTGGATGGATTGACAGGATCATTTACACGGAAGACCAGTAGGTTTAGGTAAGCATTCTAAAGAGACTCCTCTAGTACCTTGAGTATCATCCGATAGGTCCATAGCATAACAATCACTATTACCATTGAACAGAAACATTACATCCTCGGTTTTGGGTACACCGGTGATTGTGCACTATTCCATCAGCTCGTTCACCCGTATTTAACACCATATCACCTTTCCGTTGACGGTCTCTTGAGAACGAATATGTGTTATTTGACATTTGACATGTGAAAGGTGATATGAAAGATTCCACAGTCAATCAAAGAATATGAAAGCACGTTGGGTTAGAGAAGAAAGAAAAAAAGGAAACTCACCACACCAGCAGTTTTGCTGGCTTTCCCCATTACGGTATATTCAAAACTCATAGTCTCTCCATACATATGTATTATATGAGAAGAATTATCCCATAATACCATCCCATCATCTAAACTTGTATCCTTGACCATCCCCGCCATGACGGTATGCCAAGGTGCTAATGTGATCGTAGATGAAGGTCCGAATTCAGGGGGTGGACTCGAAACAGCATGGGTTTGTAAGGTCATGGAAAGTAACATAAAAGTGAAGGTTGCTGGGATAAGGGTAAACATCTCCAATTTTGAATGGGATTCTTAGATTGTTGGGTTATTGGAATCCTTCTTCGTTCTGAAAGAGCGGTTTATGTACATCATGTATGTGTATGAGGGGATATGAGGGATCCTTTCATAATACGGGTGGTCCAGGGATGGGGTGTAGATCGATAAGTGTCCTTTGTTGATTAGGGGCGTGAAGAAGAGAAGAAGAGAAAAAAGAGAGAAGATCAGTATGTAGGGGATAGCTTGGCATCTTATCGAATCAACAGGAGAAGTTTCTTGGAGATATGTCAGGAGCAACTAACACAAAGGGTGATGGGGTAGAAAAGGGATCCGCACAACTACTCGTAAATCGACATGAGGCGGTTTGTCAAGTTGTCCAATCTTCATTGAAAAGTTAGTAGACTTTGGAGGTCACTTTCAAGATGAAGAGGTCTTAAGTGAACATTGACTATTCAGTTGGACATGAGTCTATTGAGAGGATCAAGAAAGTAAGTACATATTGACAGCTAACACAATCGTCGGGTGAGTAGGTGGTCATTAGAAGCTATGTGGTACAATGGGAGATGAACATCTATTATTTCGTTCACTTGCAAGGCATTCCGGTAGGTTTAGGATCACAAACCAAACTAACACCCCTAGTCCCTTGAGTATCATCAAATCCGTCAAAAGCGTAACAATCGCTATCTCCATTGAATTCGAAAAGCATGTTCGTGGTTGGAACTCCTGTAACGGTGCACTAAAATCATCAGTATTGCATTTCCAACGTCGAGATAGACGGAATGACAGCATGACCTTTTGTAGGGGAAGGAGAAGAAAAGAAAGCCGTAGATGATCATGTAAAGGGTGATATGATCATCGGGCTGACTAGGGCGATCTGAGGAGACCCCCTAACCCATGTAAGGTATTTCGGGACATCAACGATAAGATCAGATCTTTGGGGAAGGGGGGAGAGGGCGCGGAGGTCACGAGCTGATCACGAGCTGATCACGAGCTGATCACCAGTCGAAATGAGCAGGTCGACTCAATAGCCTCCACAAAGTAAAGACAAATGAAAATTAAACGAATGAATGTCTGTCATTGAAAGGAAGATTGAAAATCACTCACAACACCTGCCGTAGTATATCCTTTCCCCAAAACGGTCCATTCCGCATGAACATTCGGTCCATACATAGTTAACAATTGAGAATTATTACTCATTGTCGAACCGTGAAATTCTAAATGAGTATCACCCATCATGCCCACAAACACAGTTTGTCTGGGTTCGACGGTCGAATACGTATGAGTAGTACTGGTAGTACTTGTTTTGGTAGGAGTGGATGCGGTATATCCTGATGGAATAGACATGACCAGTGAAATGTTTGACAATCCTATGAATAGGAGAGCGGATAGTAAGTTGGACAACATCTTGAGCGAATCACTAGTCTTGAAAACTTCCAAGTAGAGGGAGGGGATATGAGAGATTGATTTCATTTGTACTCGTGTTGGATAGGATAGGTATTGTGAGTCTTCCTTTCATTTAACACGGGTGAAGGGTGAAGTGAATTGAAATCCTTTTAGAGGTGGTTTGTATCATGTGAGATTAACAGGAGATAAGGAGATTAAAGGATTGTTTTGAGTGAACTTTCAAAAGATTTGATGAGAGGAGTGGTCATGTCATAGATCAGATCAGTAGGGGAGGATGTCAAAGGTTAGAGGGTTGATACGTGGACGATGGTGGAGGGAGGATATGAGGGGGTGAGAAGGGGATGAAGAGCTATCAGGAGTGAGTGCTCAACGACCAACGGCCAACGGCCAACGGTCGATGGGTCCTACGTTGTACAGTCTGGCCAGCTAGCCAAGAGATAAGTCATAAGTCAAACATGGTCATACGTCGGAATGATGCAAGTTGACTTGGGAATATGAAGTCACTCGTCATTAATCACATGAAGAAAGATATCCTCTATGATTAGTACTGGTATTGCCCCTTCCGCCCCCCTTGCCTAATGGTGAGCATCAAGATAAACCATGTGTTTCTCCTCTGATTAGCCTGATCTCCTATACCTCTCGGGATATCACGAGAGTCGATAAGATATTGTGTGAATCAGTAGTCAGTATCTTTGTGTAGAAGTACAACACCAACAAATATTCCTCTCGAATTCCGAAATTCCGCAACTTTCTCCTCCTTCCGATCCTTGACCTCTATCTTCCTTCCTTCTCTCCATCTCTCACACTACTACTATTTGCTTATACCCCATTAATCCCATCCAGAACATCTTATCAATCCAATACAGATCCCAGCCTCAGCACTAGCCTCTGGTTCCCCGTTTGTCAGATAAGAAGCTCCGACCCTCCCCCTCGGGATCCTTCGCGTGACCAAGGAGAAGCGAAGTCAGGTCAAACAAATATCTTCAAACCATCACAATGTCATCCCCTCCCACTCGACCAGATCTCATACACAACGCCGTCTTATTCCTCTCCGATCCGAAAGTAATACCTTCATCACACGAAAGTAAAGTAGAATTCCTTCGTTCGAAAGGTTTGACAGATTTAGAGATTGAACAATCTTTCGGTAGAGCTTCCAATTCACCACCACCACCACCACCACCTGCACCGCCAAGGACATTTGGTTCGTATGAACCGTATGGATTTGATATGAGACCTGTACAACCTAGACGAGATTGGAGAGATATGTTCGTGAGTCATCCATTTCATAACACTCTCCCTGTATCTTTGCTCTAACGCTCCTCCAACCACTGCCTTGTCAGGGAGAGATTTACTTCTGTGACTAATAATGTATCCCAGATGTCAGAGGAACAGAGGAAGCGTTGTTAGTAGGAGAGATATGAAGTTAAAATAGTGATTGTACTTAGGACTGATCATAGATAATGGCCGTTATTTCAGGTGGAGTCGTCTATGGTCTGACAGCTTTGGCAAGGGTGAGTTTCTCTTTGATATTTATTTTCATCTTCGTCCTCATCTTTATCTTCAACCAATAATTTCCTTTCATCTTCTCTCACTTTCAAACACTCATTCGACACCCCTGTCATCCCCCCACTTCCCCTACTACTTGTCTTCAGATATGTCCACCTATTCTCCCATTCCACTTACCCAAGCTACCCTGTCATCTATCCCAACCTCTTTGACGCTCCCACACAAATCTAACTCCTGCTCTGTTCTTTCCCTAGCCGTTTAAACATCTCCTAATCCGACTCGGTGCAGTGTCCAACACCCTTCGTCGATCGTCGACCCGTGATTGACATACGAAAAGGAGAGGTTGTAGGGATCAATAAAAAAAAAGAGAACGATATCTAACTTTTCAGAAATACTTACTACCCCATCTCCAACCTCCTTCCTCCACCTCATTCCAAACCACTTCCTCTTCCTTGTCCGATCAATACTCATCCGTCCAATCTGCTCTGGAAGAACTTTCCACCAGAACTTCAGATTTACAAATTAGTTTGGATGAAGATCGTTCTCGTGTGAACTCGGTTATTGGACAAGCGGAAGATGCTGTGAAGGCTGTTCAAGAAGGAGAGAAAAGATGGAGGGATGATCTACGTGAAATGAGAGGAGAAGTTGATGGAATTAGAGAATTAGTACCTAAAGTGAGTCCAATCTTCCCTCATTATCATCATTCATTTTTCAATGTGATATGTTCTTGTTTTCCCTCTTTGCTATCAATCCTATCATCCCTTGACTTCCTCTCACACATCTTCTATTCAACTACCATGTTTGAATACTTGAAATAAATCCAATCTTCCCCCCTCACAATACCCTCCCACTCAGTCTCGATTCTCTGACAATGTATTATGAATCCAACCTTCACTCACTCTGAACTTTAAATCAAGATTGAAAAACCACCATGATTTCTCCTCGACCATCCTTTGCTGTCCACATAAATACCATAGATAGGAAGTATGTCGAAAGATGGAGTAAAGAATGAAGAAGTTAACTCCCAGATGATAGAAAAACATTCAGTCACTCAATCTGCCGCATTGGCAGATCTTCAATCAGAACTCCGTTCACTCCGCTCTTTATTATCTTCCAAATTTGATCAACATAAAGAACTCAATGGAATGTCGAACAGTAGTATAAGTACGGGAGCGAATGTTTTATTGGGATCTAAAGGTATACCCGCTTGGCAAAGAAGTGGAAATGGATCACCTGTACCTCCCATCGATGGGTTTGTAGTTGATGATACGAGTGATAGAAAAGAGATTGGTGATTCTACTCAAGGAGATTAAACACCAGGGGGGGAGTGGGTGAACTTGGGTGTTGTAGGTTTGTATAATGCATTTCGTTGAATATGGAAAAATACAATTCTCACATGACTCAGATGAAGGAGCAACAGAGAAAAGAGAAGGAATGAGAGGGAACTAATTTGGCATTATCAGTGAAACATAAATGAGATAGTGGGTTGAAAAGACGCAAAAAGATGCATAACACATTTCTTCTCAAAACACCCCATCCACCAAATCATTCATCCGAAATCTACATGTCAGCATGTATACATCAAGGAGTAAGACGGACTGACCTTGGGAGCTAGGAAAAATTGTAAAGTTCCTTGTTCAAAATCGAATTGAACTAACAATGGAACATCGTTGCTCATGTTTAGACTGACCTCTTTGGCCAAAGGAGCGGATTTCGCAAAGTTGCTCAAGTATTTCAAAGAGAAAGTGAGAGAAACTTGTTTTTCGAGGATTATGGTGACTCCTGGTTCATCTTCGTTTGAGGATTTTGCTTTTTTCGATGTCTTAGATCAGATTTTTTCTCTTCCTTCCAATCCAGCTCGAGTTGCCCTTTTTTGGGAGATAAACCCTACTCGAAGTGCCATCCGAAAAGGATACAGACCTTACTCGAAGTGGGAATCTAGAGAGAAGAGAAGGGAGCGGAATGAAATGAAATGACTCACCTTTCCACCCCCATTAGCAGCCTTACGTTTCTTCGGTCTTTCTTCATCTTCTTGTTCTTCTTCTGATTTCTATCAGCTAGACTCACTAATCATAGTCTGAGAGACTAACCACCTTCTTCATCAACATCAGGTTTTTGATCTTCATCTTCATCTTCTTCATCTTCATCAGGATCTCGTTTGGTAGATTTGCTACCTCCTGATTTCATACCCCTATCCGTCCCTGCACTTTGTTTGAGAAGAACACTCCCGTTTCCAACTTCACCTTCGGAACTGAATCTAACACCTTCCTTCGAAGCTTCAATCTTCACACTTTCACCCAAAGCGGAGAGATCACGACAGATACGTTGGAATTCGCTAGAGGACATGGTGATGGTAGCGTCGTATTGAGTATCAGGGATACCGAGATGTTCTTGATCGATATCCATGAGTTTCATTTCGTATTCTCCCACGCGGTCTTCCCCTGGTTTGTCAGTACCAGTATTGTGTCTTATTCTGACCCTCCTCTCAGAAACTCCTCGGCCTGAAGCCTCCCTCATAAGGATATGCTCATTGGCGGAGGTGTGAGATGGATAAGTGAAAGAGGAGCTTGGAGTGGAGTAGAGTCGGAAGACTAACTTGGTGATTCGAATACCATCCCTAAAGAGTCTGCATCATCGGTCGCTTTGAGAGTGACGACGTCGTTATCTTTCGCACATTTGAGGATTTTCGTCAGAGATGTGAGCTGAGAGTCAGCTACATGTCTGAACTTCGAAGTGGGGTTTATATGTCTTTTTGAGCGATTCATTGGCAGGAACAAGATGATAAGAGGTATGATGGATAGAAGTATATTGTGGGAACATGGACAACTGAGTCGGTCTCAAGATAAAGCTGGATCAGAGCATCCACTCACATTCACACCCAAGGGCATGTTCCGATCACATCGATAGGATTCGAATTGGTCTGCGACCAACTTGAGAGATACCAAAGCGACATGGGAGTTGTCCATCGCTTGAAGGGCCTATACATCAGTCCGATCTTGGTCGGATTCATAGACACTCACAATTCCCTCATCTGTACAGTCTAGATTTCCATCGGTGACCAATTCTTTGATCGCTGGATGGTTAGCTGGGATCTTTCCTTTCTGTCTACTCCCCGACAGCGGTGCAGTAAACCAGGAAGATCGTTGAAGCAGCAATAAATTACTCACCATCAAGAAGCTTTTTAAGGACTGAAGCTTGTTTCACTCTTGCTTCCAACATGATAACAAGATTGCAGTAGTATCAAAGACGATTTTGTTGAAAAAGAGAAAGAAGAGCGCGTCGCCAGGTCGCGTCATAGAGCAAGTGGGGTGAAATTTAAATGATCCCCTCCTTTACCCTCCCAACCCTCCCCACCCAATTCAAGGCTAGGCCTACGTCCATTCCTCTTCCGCATACAAGTATCAGTGATCAGTGGGCCGGCAATTATCATTTCATCGTAGTCACCTGAGGAGACGGGTAGAAGCATTATGTCTACTATATTCAACACCCTTCCAGTCAGCTATTCTTTCTTGTTGTTGATGAGCTGGACTGACCGGTAGCTTCACGAAACCCTCAACCTCTACGTCTCTCCCGCTGCTTATATCTTCGAACCTGCTTCTGGTCTTTCTCATCCTCATGGTCACGACGGATCTTCACTGATCAACGAGAAAGATGTCAGAGAGAGTTTATATGTGGACAGGAAAACAGGTCGTATGACCTTGAATCGTATGTCCCTTTGTCTGAACTTTCTGCTGCATGTTGACCGTTGCAGAATCCGCAGACATACCTTTTGGTCGTGACAAGGTCATCACATGTTACGGGATCATTGGGCTTTTGTCACTCGCCACTAGTAAGTCTTCCCTCGTCGTTGTATTAGTATCTCATTCCTTTCCTGGTTTCCACTCCATTCCAGGATTACATCACTCGCATCGTCATCCAGACTAAGCTTGGTGACTGACTGACAGCCGACTTTCTCCTCATCATCACCTCTCGTACTCCTTCTTGTAGACTCCTGGGTGAACCCATATACCTCGCAACAGATTTCCGTCTTCTACCTCTCTCCCCACTTTCCACCACATCAACTATCCTCGATCACCCAATCGAGAAAGAACTGATCTCTCTTGTTGAACAAGGTCTCAGATCCGGTAGATTATGGTTTTCATACGGCCTTGACCTCACAAACTCTTTACAAAGGCAAAAGAGCTTGGAAGAGCAAGGCAAAGGACCAGGAAATGTTCCCATGTGGCAAAGAGCAGATGACCGGTTTTTCTGGAACAAATACCTATTAAGTAGAATGATAGAAGCTACCGTTAATGGAGAATGCGATGTAAGCTACTTGAAAGCCTCACCTTTGAAAACCGCTTGACTGACATTTAGTTGAGCCGATTCATCCTACCTGTGGTTTCTGGATGTCAGTCATATCGAGATAGTAGAATTAAGCTGATATGACAGCTATCGAGCTCAGATCAGCCACTATCAACCATCGCGACTTACTTTTCCTCCTCATTTCTCGCAGGTCTAGACATCGAGCAGGTACGAGGTACTTCTCCAGAGGTATAGACGTCAATGGCAACACGTCAAATTTCAACGAGACTGAACAGATCGTACTTGTTGATCCTTTGCCGGAAAATGGGGAACCGATTCGAAGAGGTAGAGTGGATGGGAGAGAGAGATTGAGTTTTGTTCAAACCAGAGGAAGTGCGCCTTTCTTTTGGGCGGAAATCAATAATCTGCGATATAAACCTGATTTGATGGTTATGGATGTACCTGAGACAGTGAGTTTACCTATGTCCTAAATACCCCTCCCCCCCCCACAATGGGAATAGAGTCATTCCCGGGGAAGAAGTTTGGTGTGGAATTAAGCTCCCGCTTCGGCCGGTTCTAACCTGGTGGTGGTGGGGGGGGGGGGGGTGGCCGGCGGGAAACAAATTGAAAAGAG